AGTACATATTCATGGGACAGCAACACAGGATGAATCCTTAGAAATATGTTACTAACTTTTAAGTAGTCACCAATATGTGAATGGTAACTAAAGATCCAGAATATAGTTTATCACACTGGACCAGATTGTATTACCAGATTGATCACTGGTTTATTTTATTAAATCAAGCAGCAGCAATTAGAAAAGTGCATTTGAGATGCCCAGATTTGTCTGATTTTTTACCAATATATAAACATAATAGATTTAGCTCACAGTCTCTCTTGATCTTTGTTCCCCACCTTAAATATAACTCCTTGTCCTTGGATATTCAGGCTAAACCATTGCATACTGTTCTTCCTAAGGCTCAGAGGCTGGCACACTCATCTTTTTCTGCCCTTCCTGTCTTTTCATAAGAGTTATTGGTTCTGTTTCTGTTTCTATACGCTCCAATTTTTTAAGATAATTTACTAATCTGAAATAATTCCTTTTACTCATTTGGCAACTTGTTTTGAGATATCCTATCTTCCTGGTTTTCATATTTACAAGATTCTTGTTTTTTTTAAATAAATCTGGACAGCAGAGGGCACTGCGATTGAGGTGGATGCAGGTTGCTTGAGCTCTGAAGTGGCCCCTGGGGAATCTTCAAATGTTGCCCCCTACAATTCACTATACAATCCCAAGAAATATTGCATGCTACTGTTGAAACCCCCAAGATGCCTTCTAGTTCTGCATCTTCTTCTCTGAATCCAAAAACACCAAAAACAGAGGAGCTCTGTCTCCCCTACTTCTACAAGTAAAATGGTGCCTCAGCCTGATAAAATGCAGCTGATATCTGTACAATAGGTTGCCACAAATACTGATGAAATTAAATCTACAGTTTCCACCCTTCAGACCACCGTGACTTAGATTGAGTGCACTACAAGTTCTATCCAGATGGATTAGTGAAGCAGAGCACAGAATTTCTGAAGTGGAAGATGATTTCAAAGAGAACAAATTACAGGTTACGAAGAACTGTAATGATATCAGATCTATTAAAACCAAGCTAATTGATCTAGAAAGCCACTCAAGATGATGGAATATCAGGATTGTGGATGTCCCTGAGTGCATAGAGAAGGGTAAACCCTCTGAATTTGACCCTAAACTGCTAACTAAGTTGATGTATCTGCTGGTAGATCTTTGTTGTAATATAGAATGGGCACACTGGGACCTTGCCCTCAAGTCAGTTCCAAGAGATGAGACTAGAGCATTGATTGTGAAGTTCCTGAAGTTTGCGACCAAGGACCTTATCAAATCCAGAGAAAAAAGGATTATGTTATGGGGAGAACCAGCAATTAAAATACTGTTCTTTCAAGATTATGCCCGTGATGTGGTTGCAATAAGGGCAGCTTGTAACTAAGTGAAACAATTGGCTAGGGAGATGAACTTGAAGTATTTTATTAAATACCCGGCAACTCTCCATATTAAAAATAGTAAGAAGATAGTACCATTTGGTTCCTGTTAAGAGACAGAAAAATACCTGAAAAATCTTCAAACTCCTGCCTTGCAAGAGGAGACTGAGTGATTTTCGGACTGTGCTCTAGTGGTGGGTGTCTAGACTGTGTTTGTGGGGATGCAGGGGGTGTGGCGTGGAGCCTGCCCCCTGGTCCATCTGTGTCCCCGCCCCAACCCCCGCCACCACCGTTGCCCCCTCCACCACCCCCACAGGCCATTTACCATCTGCCTTCGCTCCTACCTCTGGGACTCTGCTGCTCTCCAGGCCTGCCACGCCCTATTGCCATCGTTTGGGCCTGCAGCAGCAGGCAGCCCGCACGTTGACTTTTGGTGCAAGCGCCCCGGATTGACCCCTTCCCCTTTGCAACAGGCCCCCCAGCTTTGCCCCTTGCTGCCTACCCCATTTGCCCCCTGTAGTCTTTTGCCCCTCCCCAGCTTCAGTTTGTTTGCCTGCCCTGCCCTTTCCCTCTGCAGCTTGGTTTGTTTGTCCCACCCCAGCCCTACAGTTAGCCCCTTGGTTCCTCTGCCCCATTCCCAGCCTGGTTGCTCCCCTTCCTTTGCGCCCCCTTTGCCCTGATTGACCCCTCCCCTCGTGTGCCCATGCCCCCCCGTGCGCTTGTGCCCCCCACCCCGTTTTGGTTCATCACTGCACCCCCTGATGTTATTGTGACCTTCCCTCCCCTAGTGCAGCTA